TAGTGTAGAACCTTTGGGCGGACTACTTAAATTAAACAATGACTAAAGTTGTATGAGTGGCTAGTTGTACACTCTTTTCATGGTTGCCTCCTGTGGTTGTAATGCAACTATTAGCTGAATGTACTATCAATAAAATCCTGGATCGCAAGTACTTACTTTAATATTTTAAAAAAAAAAAAATTATTTATAATTATATTTAATTTTTATTAAAATTTTATAATATATATATTAAAATATATATTTTATAATAATATAAAATTTAATAATCAAAATATTTAAAAAATATACTTATATATATTGTAAAGTTTCTGTAATGACTTTAAATTTTTTACAATTATACAAAATCAGCAAAATTTTTTTTTGATGTTAAGGTGACCTTTTTGGTTTTTTGACTTTTATTAATAACTTTTTTAGTAATATGATTCAGTAAACCACTACAAAAGAATGTACAATTGGCTATATGTAGTGCTTCTAAAGAGTTATTCGGGTCAGGTTTGGGATTGAGCCTATATTTGTTCAAACAAACTCATGTTTTTAAATTTGTTAGAATTAATTTATACAAAATTTATATAATGTTAATGCTAAGACTAGATTTTAATCTTTTATTATTTTTATTTATATAACATTAATAAAAAGATAATATTTTAATACTATTATTTGCAATTTAATTATTTTTATTTTCTATATATAATGCTAATACTAAGACTTTGCAACTTAATTATTGCTATTTTAAAAGTATTTCATAATTAGATTAATATGAAATTTTAAAGTTTAATAATGTTTTATGTTTATTAAAACTTTAGACACATACATGCATCAATAGAGTCTGCACTAAGACTGCATCTCTTAACAGAAATTAAATCAGTTCTTCTAGAAAATATTTGCTCTACTGGGATGCTAGTAGCAGTAATCACAAGATAATCTCTAGCCATCCTAGCCAAATTGTGATATTTAGCTTTGTGCACTTTCCATCATTGAAGAATATCTTGTTTTCTTATTGTCTAAAGAGCTTCTAGATATAACTCAACTTCATTTTGTTGATTAATTCTTTGTTTTTTTTTATAAATATAATCTAAAAGCAAATTATTATTATTATCTATATTATCTTAATCATAATTGGTAGCTTTATAGAAAGATGATTCATAATTATTTTTATATATTTGAAGAATAGTTGCTTTAATGTTATTGATAAAATCTTTGCTCTAATTATTTTCTTTATAATAATCCAATTTTAGTCTTGGATCAAGAACAGTTGTAATAATATAAATAGTTATATTGTTTGTTCTTGAATAATATGATTCTAACTTTATCAATCCTGCATTTACTGCAGTGATTATTTCCTAAGAATAATTAGGATTATTGTGATGTTTTGTGAGTTTATTGATTAAATAATTATATATTGATATAATAGAAACAAGCATTGAATATTTTGCTGATTTAATCATTTTAATTGTTTATACAAATATTTCTAAAATAGTTACAACCTCTCTAATTTTATTTCATTCATAAATATCAAGTTGTAATGATTGAAGATCCTTATCTAAATATGTAATTGCATCAATTGCATCATGCATTACTAGTGCTTGTACAAGCATTTCATAAATGGAGTTCTACCTAGTCTTAATATCTAATATAAGATTACAATTCTCAAGACTAGCAGCTTTAACTTGATACATAAATTATTCATGATGCTGTGGTGATGATCTAATTTTAACTACAAGTTTTCAAAGTTTCAGAATTATATTTTCAGCTATTATGTATATGTTTATATTATCAAAGATAGCATTTTCAGTTTGTGCTTTGCCAGCCTTGAATCGTTTAAGAATATTTTGCATGGCCAGGTTTATGATATGAGCAACATATCTACAATAAGATTCAACAGCATTAAAAACAATATTCTCATTATAACATATATTTTCCAAATGTTGCATAAAAGTATCATTGTTTATAGCATTATCACTTGTAATTATAAAAATTTTTGGTAAAATTCTAAATTCACAACAGCTACTAACAAATGCATCGCACAAGTTCTCTTCTGAATAGGAACCATAAAAATTAATAAAATCTAATAAAATACTTTGAAGCTTCTAGTCTTTAGAAATCCAATGCACTATGATAATGAAAAAAGAATAAATATTTGCTGATGTCTATATATCAATAGCAAATAAAAGTTTTTCTAGAACACTTTGAAGTAAGTATTTTATATTTATGCTTTCATCTTCAAAACTTTTTATAATATCATTTCTAATCATATTCTCTACAGAAATAGTTGCATTTGGATTTAACAGCTTTATCATTTGTCGAAAGTATTTATTTTTAATAGTTGTAAATGGCTGATTATTTAAGACTATCTATTTATTAAGTAACTTTTTAAAAGCTAATTGTGTAAATTCAGATGGTTCTTCTTTTGATCTTGGATCACTGTCTAGATGGTGGCATTTAAGATGATGCCAAAGATTTGTTGTATTAAAATTATCATTTTTGCATAACCATGTTTTTTTTTATTTTCAAAACAGACAAGACATACTATTTCTCGATGCATATGTGTTTTAGAATGTTCTAGTAAAAGATTCTTTTTCTCAAATAGCCCTTCTAAAAAAAGCTTGCTATGTCTTTTTCTAGAGAAAGTTGCTGGATCTTCACTATTGTTAATACTAGACATAACAGAGGCAAGTGGCTACAATTTATATTCAGTATTATACATAAAATGTTCAAGCTCATATTGAGCAGAATTATAATTTTTGATTAAAGACATATTATTATTGATAAAAGATACAATGGTAAATGTTTTTAGAATTTACTTAAGTAGAGTAAAAAAATAATTAATTCTCTATTTTTCTAATATGCTTTATATATTCTACATTTGACTCAAACTAATTACATCAATTATATTAATCATACGATATTTAACTACTACTGATTTTAACATACTTTTCATTGATTACTCTTTAATTAATTAATTATCTATAATTTATGTAGTCACTTGGGATCATGTGTTAAATTTTGGGTTTTATGTTCTGGGATCGATTATCTGAGTTACTTAACCTCTTTTGGAGCACTAGCTATATATATAACTTTTTATATTACTTATTTAAGGAGTCTGCCTAAAGGTTCTTTATCAATTGCTATACTTAATATTTCTGCTTAGATGTTCTATTTTAAATTATCTGAATCTGCAATCTGTATTAATATTACTAGATTAAACCCAGATCATTATCTCAATCTTAGAACTATTTTATTCTTAAAATAAACTTTTTGAAGCCTTTTGTATTTATTTTTATAACTGATTTGATATTGCTATAACAGAACTAATATTTGTGATCAGAGTTATATTATTTAATTGCTATGCTTTTGTAGAGTTTATACAGATCTTAGCATTTACTTTATAGCATAGCCCTAGTACTTAAGTATATTTTTGTCTTTTTACTTGTCTTTTGTTTAAACTTCTAATCCAGATAGTCTATATAAAACTATAACTAGTTTATTGGTATATCAGGTCAGCCTAATATTTTTTTTCTTTGGTTCATTCTAATGATCTGATTGGTAATATCTTTGAGACTCACAATTTGAAGGTTTTTGTCTATTCAAGTACTACAACAGGGTACTACAACCTAGGTATCCATTTTCTTGAACTAGCTTTTACAATAAGACTATTAAAGATCTGACTACCTTTTTATTTAGATTTTTTCAAATAGGCTTCTTATTATCTAAATTTAACAGATTTATATAACTACAAGAACTTATCTAGTGTTTTTGCTATCCAATTTGTTAGTTTGCATTTTTTTGTATAACTAATTATACAGATATTCTATAACCTGTCAGTCATACTAATATAACTACCATTATAGATATTTAACTTAATTATTAGTAACAGTTATTGTAATATGAATATTATATAAGTAATTATCTAAATTTTTATCATTAATAAAATTTGAACACCCAACTTACTACTTGAAGGATTGACAACTTGAACACTTCACTAGATTGCCATATTTTCTTAAAATTAGCAATTTTGATTAGTTGATATTAAATAATTATTATATAATAAAAAATAATATCTAATCTTTAAATACATATTTCTTAACTAATTTTAACAATTTTATTACTATTAGAATTAGAACAACCTATTTTATAAACTTTATTTAAAATTAAAATAATTAATTTAATAAAAAATTTTAAAATATTAAAAATAAAAAAAATTATCATCAAGATTATATAAAAAAAATTTATATTAGACTCTATTCTTAAGAATTCTACTCTAAAATTACTTACTATTTGCTATATCTGATATCTGCTTATAAGTGTTTTATTTAAACTTTTTATTTTTCTAATTAGTATCTGTATAACTTTAACTATTTATTTTAAATAAGATATTTTATACTGCTTTTTATTAAAGCTACTTAAATTTAATTTAAATTTTTTTTATACTAGTATTTAAATTATTGCATATTTTAGAGCATATTACTAATAGTAAGCTTAAAAGGCCCTTCTACTAATTAACCTATTAGCTTTATATATTTTAACAAGTCTATGCTTTTGTAAAGTTTATTTAAAATCTAATACTTGCTTTATAATATATTACTAGTATTTTAGTATATTTTAGCTTTGTTTTTAGACTTTTAATTTAAATAGTTTAGTAAAACTGTTATCTATCTCTGATATACTAAATTTGGCCTAATATATTTTTTTTAATTTAATTCTAATAACCTAGTTAGTAATATTCTTTATTTAAAAATTTTTGTCTATTTAGCTTCTTTATATTAGTATTTATTTTCTAGATCTAGTCTTTATAATAGTATTGTCAAAATCTGTATTATCTTTCTATTTGAATTTTTTAAAATAAGCTTTTGTTTTTCTAATTTTACAAATTTATATAATTACAAGAACTTATTTTAGATTTGCACTATCTAGTATTAGTTTGTATTTTTCTGTATAATAAAAATTATATGAATACTTTATAATTTGCCAGTTATGCTTATACTATTATAAAAATAGATTTTTAAAAAAAGTTTATTTTATTTTTTTTTTTAAAAAAAAAGAAAGGTCTATTCTTTATCTCTTTATTAATTAGTCAAATTACATATATAAGATACATGTTAAAGAAACTAAACTAGAGAAAATGAAGGTAAAAGCTACTTTTTCTTAATCTATTCTTTGCTAGAATAGTTAGTAAACCTTTAGTCTTTGATAAGATAATGAAATAAAGATTGTTTATTAGTTATATAATATTGTATCTTTTTATTTATTACTGATATTGGAATTAGTTTAGTTTTAGCTAATATTGAAAGCTGTAGAAGTAATGAGACTGAAAAAACTGAATTATGTTGTATTGTTCTCAAAGTAAGTTAAAGCTCTTTGTATATTGCAGTAATAATATTGTAATGTATAAGAGAAGCATATTTATTTTTTTGTTTGTTGTTTTTAAAAGATGCTAGTATTTTAGTAGTTATTAGTTCTAATAGCATGTGTTTGTTAATATGGTTTGAAATAAAGACTTGAGTGAAACTGTATATTTCATAACATAGTGTTATAGGTGAAAGTCCTCTTAATTTTCATACTATAATAATGATATAGCACAGAGAATCCCTTATAGGTATATGTAGTATTTAAAAAAAAAGTATAGTTTCTGTTGAATACTGTCAAGAAACTATACTCTTCTCTAAGCCAGTTTAGGAAAGGTGATGAAATACTAATAACTTTACTTTATTTCACTAAGAGAAGATAAACCTTGCCTGTAGAAATTACTCTAAAGAGGAAGTATCAATACAGTTTATAGTCAAAAGTTATTTATTAAAGTAATAACAAAAAGGGCTATTCTTAGGTTTTTGTTTCTAAAGAATCTCAATATATGTTTACAATATTAAAGAAAAAAGAGGTGTTTGTTGCTTAATCACATTTGAAGAATTTAGCAGAGTTTATATATCTGTAAGCT